AATAAATGTCTACACCAAATGATAATATATTAAGATTATAAATTATATATCTAAATATGAATTAATTATTTTTATTTTATGCATATTAATAAAAAAAACATAGTAATTTTTAAATAATTAGGATTAATTGATTGTTTATGCAATTTAAAGAATATTATTAACGCTCAATAATTTTTTTTAAAGGCACGAATATAAAGACCAAGATTCTATAATTTTTGTTATATTTTGAATTGAGATTTTATAAATATTTTGAATTGTTCGTTGTTTCTAAGAAAAAAATAAAAATAAATACATACACACTTAATAAATCTTAGCCGGATTTTTTAAATAATAAAATGAACTAAAGCCCGAAATTTAAGGTAGCATTTAATGTTGTATGATTTTTAAAGAAAAAAATAAGGAAAATAATAAAACTTACTAACGTCTCCTTAATGGTCAAGTTTTGGAACTCTCAAGATAGAGACCAACACAAAGAACACAAGATGATTTATGAACTTTGTAAAAAGATGTAAAGAGCTCTTAAAAATTTGATGTATGTAACCGTTTCACTTCATGAAAAATTATAGATGTTCTAGCACATCTGCAGGGGGTTCAGGACATCAAATACACCTGTCGGGACGTGCCCGGTCGGCCAAAACTGAGTAAGACCCTCTTCGGAATGAACAGGTGCTTCAGTATCGCGTGCTCATCGTGCTTGTGACAAGTTGTCGTGCCCTTCCACAAGGCAGCACAGTCCGTCGCCCGCGACGGTCATCGCGCCCGAGACAAGACTCTCCGCACAGCTGCGAATTGGGAGCTCGTACGTGCTCGTTCGGACTCGGAATCGAGTTTCATTTTTTCCTTCTTGTCCCCAATAAGCCTTCTATAATTCTAGCATACATAATGCATGATTATGACTCGTTTAGTTTGTCAAGACATTGGTCAAAATAGAATATTTGTGAACCCTACAACCTTTGAGTTACTTAAACTCAATTATTCAACATATAACACTTACAATTAATTTTCCATTCACCTTAAAATGGTTTTAAAAATTTTCTAAATCTTCCGCTTACGAAAAATGAAACCTACAAAACTAATTTTTCTTACAGGCTTCAGATTAAAAAGGTACCGCTTAGGTGGCTTCATATAAAAAAAATTATGCTTGCTTGCTTGCTTGGCACCAAATGCACCCGATCGACGCCTAAAAATGGGACAGATTAAAAAATTATGCTTGCTTGCTTTCTTATTTTTGGCTCTTTTATATTTTTCCAATATTTCAAACTATCTGGTTTTGATTTTAAATTTTTGTTTTAAAAACCGAGAGTATGAATTTGAAAATAATTCTTTCTTTTTTTTTGTCTCCAAAAGTCCATAATGGACGTATTTCTAGGTAGAATATTTTTGCAACTTTGAAGACTCTTTTCCTTGTCGAGACTCATACTAAGAATTTGAGTAATTTCAGGCTCTTTTCTTGCACACCTATAAATCTCCTACCTTTCTATTGCATCATACATACATTCAAATTATTCTTCAATTTCTTTTGTTTTTTTTTTTAAAAAAAAAAAACACGAATTCTTTCACTCAAACAATGGATCATCCATTTTTGATAAAAGATTTTAAAAGGTCCAAGAGACATATGCTTAAGGATCGCATCGTAAGAATGTTTTTACGAGACTTTGGCTTTACATATAATAAGTATCTCGAGATTGTTTTGCATGATCAAAAGGTAAGCCGATTTGTTTTGAAATATTTTTCTTCTATAAATCATATATTCATATATTCATTTTTTATGTTGCTTAATACATATAATTTTCATTTTAATGTTTTTGTAATTTTTTAGGGCTGACGCATTACGGTTTGGGTGCGGGCAGTCACCATACCGAAGTTTAAGGAGAGGAATTTTGAGGAGAGTATAATCATTCGTATTCAAAATTAACCAAGTGAAAAGTAACATTGAAAAGTATCATTCAACAGGAGGTCAATACAAAATCATATTGCATGGAAACACGCAAGTTGTGATGTTCAAGGAAGATTTTCATCAGTTTCGATTCGATTTCAAAGACTTTGCAACACTACAAGGCGTTAACAAAATCAACAAATCGATGTTAATCAGTAAAAAGGTGTTTTGGTGTTACTTCGAAATTTATTATTTATTTATTTTTTATAAAACAATAAAATTATTACAATTTGATATTTATAGATATTATTGGAATTATTATTGATATTCAAAGTGTGCAAGATAAACAAGTGAGCACAAGTGATACCCCGATGGTTACATTCATCCTTATGGACTTGGAGTAAGTTTTTATTTGGATTTTTTTTTGAGATATTATATTACTATATGAATCACATATTTAAAGTTATGGTTTATAAATACAGTGAAAATTTGATCAACTACACTATTTGGGGTGAATATGTAGACCAACTTTTGGCTTTTGAGAGCCACTATGAACAAATTGTTCTTCCATGGGTGATGGAGATGAAACTGCGATCGCATTCTTCAATAAATATGATCGACTCCGGATTTAGTTTAGTTATTTAGCACTATGCTTCCTTTTATTTATTTCATTAGTTATTTAATTAGTATTGGTACTTAAATAAATATCTTGCAGCTTGTTAGGCAAGAAAGGACTATGAAGAGAAGAACTCTATATATTATCTGTCAGAAGCCACACAAATTTTGAGTTTTATCTGATATTATTAGTTCCTTTCGAGAGAGTATCTTGTATTTTCCCGTTCTTATTCACGTTCTATATCAGTGAGCACTAATCATGCAGCTTGCACGTGGTAAATAATATCAACGTATGCGCATTTAATTTGTTGTTTTTATCTATACATGTTTTGCTTTTATATTTTATTTGTTGCTCTTTTATCTTATTTAGATATGCTGATATTTGTATGTTATTAAACTGATTTTTATGTACTACTTTTTATCCTATTTCTTTTGTAGATAACGGTTTTGTTTTGTTTTTGTTATTTTTTTTTTTCCTGCTATTTGCTAAAATATGTTTTTTATATTTATAGGTAAAGTTCCAAGTTACCACATCATTAAATGGAGAAAATTACAAATTTGGTCCCACACCTTTGATTGTTTTCCACATTTGGTCTCAAGCACGCCATCTATGATCCTTTTTAATTTTTCGTTGAAAAAATGGTCCCACGCCCGTCAAGTCTAACAGTCTCGTTCATGCATTGTTAGTCAACATTCACAGTTAGAAAGAAAGAAATCAAACTTTAGGACTAAATTTGCATTTTTTAAACGAGTGGGACCACATTTACAATTTTCTAAAAAAAAAAAGAAAGAAAAACGAGTTCTTCAAGTTTGTCTAGAAGAGAAGCCATATTATTTTGATGTTTAATTCAAAAGTAGAAAATTGACTTTTTGTTTAAATAATTTGACTTACTTTAAAATATCTTTTTAAATGAAAATTAAAATTATTATTTTATTTTATTGTGCACTTTAATTTTCAAAATTGTATGCCAAGATATTTTTCATTTTTTGGAACATTTGATTTGTCCTATTTTCTTGAAACATATACGTATCAATAAATTTGTTTAAAAATGTAAAATATGCTAAAAAGAGTAAGTGAGAAAATATATTTAAATTATTTTTATTAGCAATATTTTTTTAAGAAGTTCTTAGTAAATGTTAAAAAGGTATATTACCATTCTTTCCTAACAATACATTTAGTTTGTTTTTTAATAAATTATAAAAGATAAATATAACTCATATACAATTTTTTCACAAGTTTTAATTTTTTCACAACTTAAAAGAGTAAGTGATAAAAATTATTTAAATTTATTTTTATTAGGAAAAAATTTTTCAAAAAGTTTTTAGTAAATGTTAAAAGGTATATTACCATTCTTTCCTAACAATACATTTAGTTTATTTTCTAATAAATTGTAAAAGTTAAATATAACTAATATACAATTCTTTCACATTTTTCTATTGTAAATTACAATTTAATTTGATTTTTTTTAAAATAAAATAATTATTTAATTAAGTAACTTAACAAAAAGTGTATAAAATAATTTTATTAATTAGTTAACGAGATGCAAAAAAAAGTATATGATATATTTTACTATAAATAAGTGTAGCAAAAGTCTATTTTCACTTAATTTAATGCCAAATTTTGTTTATGCTTAAAATTGACATTTTTATGTAGATGTAATTTTCATAAATAAACAGATTTTTCAATTTATCGTTGTCAAAATCAAATTCATAAATAAAAAATTATTAAAATATTATTTCTAAGAAAATAGACAATAATAATATAAAAATAGTTTAGATTGGTTTTTTTTAATTCCTATTATTTTATAAAGTTTGTAGGGATATATATATATATATATATAAATTATCACATTATACTAATATTTAAAAGTGTAGACGGATTAGTATTATTGTAAACATACTCACATTTTTTCTTATTTTGATAAATTGGATTATATCTTTTGGTTTTCTTTATTTAATTAAAATAATATTATTTTCTAATTATTATTTACTTTAAATAATATAAATGATTTCCAATATTTTCAATGTAATGATGGTAAAAAAAATTTAGAAAATAAAATAAATACGACTAACAATTATATCGTTTAATTTTCCACCCCGAATTGAAATTTATTAATGCCCTTACTTTTCCACTCGATATTCATTTTTATAAAATTATTTTTAACATTTATTCCTCGCGTCATATTCATAGTAAATTAATTTTATTATGTCATTTCGACTTTGAATGAATGAGAGAGACTAATTCGACTTTCAAGTTAAAAAATATAAATTACAAAATTTGTCTCATATGATTAATCCCAAAAATTGCTAACGTCTTGCACGTGAGCCCTGTTAATTTTAAATTTCATTCAAAAAATTTTTCTAAAAGTAAGTCAAACTATTTAATGAAAAAAAGTCAATTTTTCACTTTTGAATTAAACATCAAAACTAACGTCTTCACGTGAGCTCCGTCAATTTTGACAGACGTGGGACCATTCTTGCAACGAAAAATAAAAAAGATCATAAATAACTGGAACCAAATGTGGAAAACAATCAAAGGTGAGATCAAATTTGTAATTTTCTCTCATTAAATGTTACCAAATTGATTGCACGATTGTCGAAGAAATCCGTGACTTTTAGAGAAAGTTATATTAAAAAATATCCATAAGTATTTTGAATTTAAAGATAAATCTTATCTTAAAAGAAAAAAAAAATAACGCTTTAAGTTGGAACACAACAAGAACCATCAAAGATGCATAATGTCGATCATCAGTTTTACAGGTACTATAAAATTCTCATGCTTCATGCTTAGAGCAGGATAAAAAAACACTGACAAGCCAAGCCAATCAGCAAGCATCAAACTTCTCATTCCTCAGCAGCACTTGCAGCACTTAAATCCACATTGAGATCGAGAACCTGAAAACAAGGTCGAACAACAGTCGTGTCAGTTCTACATTTGTTCCGTGCCAAGGACCTTAGTCCGACAGATTAAGATAAATTTACGAACTTCAAAATGTTTCCATATCAGATCTCACTATCTTACCTTTCCAGTGATGAGTGTATACATATTCAGCACATCAACAACGGTCGATTCAAAGTGAGTGGTGGCATCATAACTCTGTCAAAATAGGGTTAAGAAGGTAAATATAGTGCGAGTGCTCAAAACACATTAACCAGAATGACATTTTCGAGAAACTTACAGTCGATATAAAGCAATTGTCCAGCGAAGGCTCATTAACCGGTTCATATCTGTCATAAGTCTCAAAGAAAATCTCATCCACAGGTCCAAGAAGATCAATACCTGGCTTCAGTTCAGTCTCAGGGTTATCTGTCTCTGCTTCGGTAGAGACAAAGGCAATGAATTTTCCTTTAGGAGCAACATTGTGAGAATAAGAGCAACAGAACAAGTACCTACAGGACCAACAAATCATGTCATAAGTCTGGAAAATTTCTTGTTGCAAATCGTGATAGGTGTAGTAGGTGACTAGTGCGAAAATCCTACACACTCTCGACAAAATAACATCAAGAATAAAGTATAGTGGCATATAGAGTGTACTGAAAAAAGAAAAAGTTATCATACTCCATAGTCCATAAGGAAGCATAAGGTTACTTCTACTAAGCTCATAGATTCAGTTCGGTAAAATAAACAGCTCAGGCTAGTGGACCATAGTAAAATTCACGCCTCATACTTGAATAGGTTCTAAACTATCAACCAAGATAATGGCATTACACAATGTCAGGACCAAGCTAGCTGCTTACATATCTGATTTGCGGCCCAACTGCTTCTGAGGTAGAATAACTTGAGCAGAATGAGAATCATTGGTGTTTGGAATTGGGTGGCTCATGATAGCTATAGCTCTAGCGACTTTCCCGACTTTCCTCACCTGTAACACATCTCATGCTATTGTTTATCACATTTGTAGGTTAAAAGTCAAAAGGAAATTCGGAAAAAGAGCTCTGACTTTTGTGATCAGATAATATGATTGGACAACAACAACATCAATGACCCATACCATACATGTGATTGTGTGAGTGTCAGGGTACAAAAATAAATGGTGTGACCTTACTGTTGGACGAGTAAAGAAAAAGTGATTTATCAAGTATTATGCAGATTATGGAATAGAGTAAGAGTTCGAAATGACAAGAAAATTGTTACCTTGTTGGGAAGGTAGGAAGGATCACACACCACTTTCTTACACTTTGCTGTTTCCCCTTCTGATGTGACTCCACAGACCTTGCCTTCATCACCAAACTCAACCTGAAATTTGACAACTTAATGTCAGAACTTTAAATATAACATTTACAACAGAAGCCGAAAAAAGGGATAGAAAGATACAACATTAACAATCACACGAACTATAAAACATTGAGGTGATAGCTGACGTAACAACACTAGTTAAGACCATAACATGAAGATACCTATCTGAAAAGTATATTTGATGGACATAATATATTACAGATCAAGTTTTTCTCACTATATGCCATTTTCCTCTTTCAGTTTGTCACGCTCCCCTCAGAAAACAGCAACACTACCATGCACATTTTTAGCCAAAACTACCAGCAAATGAAGTGGGAAAACGCATTGATTAAATAATACGAATTCTTTATAAATATTAGATGATGACAGATCTTTCTATTCATGCACAGATGTCAATAAGAAAATTAAACTGACTATCAACAAACACATTACACAATCATAATTAAAACCCTTAGTTTTTCCTCTTACTTTCTTATCACGTACAAAATCTGTTTAAGAGTGCAGGCACTGGGTACTGAGTGGAGATCATTGTATCAGGGCAAAGGAAAAAAATGGCACCAATTCAATACCTTGCAATCAGGTTTATTCAACATGTAGGTCCCACCATACACAGCACTGAGGCGAGCAAATGCCTGAGAGAAACAGAGACATATCGTCAATGAGAACCTTTTGTATACCTCTTTTTAGAAGGATGATTGCAAGAGGGTAATAAAATATTCAGTAAATCATGAAGCAAACTATTCAAAGAACAAAAGAGTAAGATAGCTGCACAGGTAAGGAAGAAAGATGCAGACTTGAGGAAGCTCTCCAAGACCGTATAAAGGGTAGATATACGGGGACCCTCCAGCAAAACGTGCTAAAGACTCTGCATAAAGCTATCATTCAAAAAAGTACATTAGTGAGTAAGGATTCTCATAAACCATAATCTATTAAAAAAGCAAAAACAGATATCGTGTTATGGAAATTGTTTTCAGAAAGCAGACATAATTACTTTCATCCTTTTCACAGTGTCCAATGCTGGTTCATTTAAGTAACGATCATCTCTGTGAAGAGCCAATGCATGACCAATAAAATCCACAGTGTTGTCATCAAGACCATACTTCCTGAAAGGGTTTCAGAATGTTAAAAAACTTTTATTAAGCTTGCAAGTAACTAAAGGATCCATCTAATACATATGCAAATAAAAGCACAAGCAAAATAATGCATGTATTCTAGGTTGAAAGATTGCTAAGCCCAATAACTGGTAAGTTACAATTTTTTCTTTTAGGAAGGATACACTTAGTGCTAGAGGCTGGTTCTGTGTTCTAAGCAAACAAAGGCATGCAAATTTCTAAGAATTTAATGAATTCGAGAGAACAGCACATCATACACATACACAGCAGTATATATGACTATCAACAAGGACAATCAACTTGAAGTTCACAAAACCGTGAGTTAATTGGATAGTAATACCGCACATAATATTTCAATTTACTAATAACAAATTTTTTTTCCTAGTTCATCTTCCTGGACAAGAAAATATCACCACCAGGCAGCCATAAGCTGAAAACGCATATTAAAACAATCTATCTTTTAAAACTCAAATAGTACATCGACCCTGGGAGAACAATTATTTATCCACAAGTACACTTAGAATAGCCCATGCTTAAGAGAATGGAAGGTGAGAATCAGAATACCCCAACTCATTCACATGCTTATATTGATCAAACTGAACACGTCTAAAAACGTAAAGTAGGCACAAATCACAATGGACAATATTAATACACAAGTTGTTTGAGCCATATAAGAAGGAAAAGGTTCTTAGAGGCCATACGAAATGAGTTCTCTAGTTGTAACTCGTTTCAAATCCATTCCTTCATGTGTTTTAGGATCAGTTTCATTGTAATCCTGGACATAAATGAAAAATTTTCGGGCACGCCGCTTTTCAAAAATTCCCATGAGAGGAGATTTGAGAGCCTCCATGTCAGTGGCAGGCACCTTGTGAATCTGGTGCATAAATATTAACAGAAAAATTCAGATACCGATATCATTTTAAGATACATAATCGTTTATATATAAAGGGAAAATATTTATCCATCAGCAAACAAAAAGGAAGATAGAAACACCATGCCTTTCCTTTGTTGTACACAAAGCTTCCATCAACAGCTTTGAAATACAAATACTTTGTAACATCAGTGTGAATGAGGACCCGTACAAGAGCACCATTTGCCATGATATACTGAGATGAATTTAAATAGCATCATCAATAAGCAACCAGTAGCAAGATATTTCGGAAGTATATACAATAGCAAAAGAATAGTAATACCTTCGGGACCATGTCGACGTTATAATCTCTGCTAGAACCCAGGTGAGCTGGAGGCTGATCGCTTCCTCTAAACCTCTTCCACATCTAAGTTAAAAAAATATATGTACACAAGCTAAGACATAAGGAAGAGTGTGATCACTAGATATCTCTTTCAAATTAACAGGAGTACCTGAACGAGGTTGAGTGATGTCGACTCCCCACCGTAATAGTCATTACGATCCATATGCAAAACCTGTTAAACATATACCACGATAGAATTGTGGTGTAAATGAAATTTTATAAGTAGGCTCGCAAAAATCTTATGACATTAAATCAACATTACACCATAAGGATAAAGGCACTGATACACATGGGATGTTTTTAAACGGTCAACAACACAACAAAAAGAGAAAACAGAATGGATAAAAAATCAAATATGGATATAAAGTTACAAAGGGAGAAGGTGGAGGAGGAAACCATAATTGGTGAATTCATTTTGTATATCCTGATTTACCAGAAGCCACAAACTACAAGTTAACTGTTACAGTAATTTCTCAAACTTAATAACCCCAATAATTCATCAAGCAAAACAAATATAGCCTAGCCAAAAAATAGAAGACTTAACACTTAGACTGATACACATGATCGAGTTCATCTATGAACATGAATATCCCAGTTACAAGATATAAGATCCCAAGGGGAAAGGGTCCCAGCACAACATATTATTTAACTGCACCTGGGTCAGAAAGCAAAACTAATACTCGACTCAGATAACTGTTACGATGAGCTTGGCAAGTAATCTAAATCCTCTTCAAAGGCCTCCAACGGGATACAGGCCCAATTCATATAATATGCATTCTTTCCAAAAAAAAAAATAATCAGGCAATGGAACAACCCTCAGCTGATCAGTAAAAGAAAAATTATTGTGCCAACAGATATTGTTCCGATTTCAAACTCGTAGTCTACCCAAGTTCACAAGTGAGCAGCTATAAAGACGATAACTTTATAACAGTTCCACGCATTTGAAAGTGATTTCATCATTTTGAAACAATGAAATAAAAACCATATCATCAGGCATAACCTAGCAAATAGATAAAAGTTAAGCTGGCTTCAGCTTTGCCCAGCTGATTCATACCAATCAAACAAACCACAAATGATTGCAATAACATACACCCAAAATACAGTGTCGATTCAGCATAAAACTGGAAAACATTCACGACCAAACAGATCATATATAGAATTGTAACATTAAATTCAGTCTGACAACAAAGGGCAGCCATGCCCATATGATCCATTCCAGGATACTAAAAACACGACGAACCCCATGTCAATCAACATCGTCAACCTAAATGCATAAACAATTAAGCTAAATAGATCCATAAACAG